TCCTCCTCCTCCTCCCCCTCCTCCTCCTCCTCCTCCTCTTCCTCCTCCTCCTCCTCCTCCTCATCTTGTTCCTCCTCCTCCTCCTCATCATCCTCCTCCTCCTGGGAACCCATGGGGGCGGTGGCTGTGGCGGATTCTGGAGATCTTAAACCCAAAAATGGAATCATCTCTTGGGGCGGCACTATTTACCTTCTCCTCCTCCTGCTCCTCCTGCTCCTCCTGCTCCTCCTGCTCCTCCTGCTCCTCCTGCTCCTCCTGCTCCTCCTGCTCCTCCTGCTCCTCCTCCTCCTCCTCCTCCTCCTCCTCCTCCTCCTCCTCCTCCTCCTCCTCCTCCTCCTCCCTGCACGGAGAGAAAAAAAAAGCAAGCACAATAAATCGGATCGATGGGTCCCGATGGCGTGCGCTGGGCCCTGGAGGCGTGGGAGGCGCAAGGGCCGCTGCTGAAGCAGGCAGGGCGGGGGCTTCTCCGCAGCCACCGCCCGAGGAACCGACGCCCTGGGACCCCCTGGGGGCGGTGGCTGTGGCGGATTCTGGAGATCTTAAACCCAAAAATGTAATCATCTCTTGTGGCGGCACTATTTACCTTCTCCTCCTCCTGCTTCTCCTGCTCCTCCTGCTCCTCCTGCTTCTCCTGCTCCACCTGCTCCTCCTGCTCCTCCTGCTGCTCCTCCTCCTCCTCCTCCTCCTCCTCCTCCTCCTCCTCCCTGCACGGACAAACACCTTCCGCCACCCTTGCGCCGGCTTCTGCCGGCGGAGGCGGCCTCGTTGTGCGTCCGCCGCCCTCCCGCCGCTCTTCCGCCGAGGAAGAGGTGACAACTTCTTCGATCCTCGAAGGCAAGGCCCGTTTTGGAACGCCTCGTATGGATATCAGTGGGCCCCCTGGGGCCCAAATGAGCGATGAAAACAAAGGGGGCCTACGCGAGACGGCATAGCTAGACAAGCGCGTTCCACTGCTCGCACAGTAACTGCTCGCAAATGGCCTGGATCCGCCATGGGAGGTTCACCCTCCATTGCACCGATGCAGGCACGTGCTCTGCCCGACGTTTGCGCGGAGGCACCCTGCGAGTCGTGGAACGTGCTCGGCGAATAGCCACCTGGCGCGGTGGCCTGCGCAGGCCGCCAGCGCGGCACGCTCCGTTGGAAGCGAGGGCGCCGACGCACGGCCTCACGCGGGCAGCTTGCGCGCGCATGTCGGCGCAGACGGCGCCGTGCTTGGTGGCGTCGCCCAGCTCTGTCCCTACCCACCGGCGGCCGCGGTCCCCGAGGGCCGACGCCCCAGCCGGTGGTGATGGACAGCTCCCCGCCGCGGAGGTGCAGGCGCGGGAGAGCGGGAGGAGGCGGCGGGAGGCAGGGTTAGGTCGGGCATGTCCGCCTACAGGCGGGTCTTGGGCGAAAGTTGAAGAGAAATGGTCCAACAAAACTGAATCAGAGTCAAACATCATCGGGAAATCGTATCCAGATTATTTTTCGACTGTTCTGCAATGTTCCTCGAGGAGAGGGACATGCCCGGCTTGCAGGCAGGGCGCCGTCGCCGCTGTTGAAGTAGGTGCAGTCGCCGGGCGCAGGCCCCGCACCGTCCGCCGCGCCCGCGGCGGCGCCTCTCGAGGTGGTCGTGGTGGTGGTGCCGGTCCTCGCTGCTCCGCGGGCCCGAACCCCCCCCCCTTCGACCGAGGCTCGAGGACGCAGGGATGCAGGCGCCCCCCCCCCCCCGACGAGGTGGAGGGCGTTCATCGGGGATGGACAGACCCCCCTTTAGTAGAACGTGGTTTCGTGAAAACGACCTGAGGCCCAAACCTGGTGGGCGCAGGCCTGGAAAATGACGGCCACGGCGCCCTCTCGAGAACCGAAAACGGACAATTCACTAATCGACGTGTCAGGGTAGGAGGTCTGTCCACCCCCGAAAGTAGGAGGAGGATGAGGAGGAGCAGGAGGAGGAGGAGGAGCAGGAGGAGGAGGAGCAGGAGGAGGAGCAGGAGGAGGAGCAGGAGGAGGGAGGAGGAGGAGCAGGGGGTTCTGTCTACCCCCGAGTGCAAGACTCGAGGGCAGGAGCTCCCGATCCGGCTCGCGCGCCCTGCGCACCGCGAGGCCGCCGGGCCCGGGCGTGCCGGTGCTCCCTGGGGACCCCGCACCGTGTCTTCGGCGAGGGTCGGCTGCACTCGGGGGCGCCCAAGAAGAGGGCGTCCAAGAGGGGTTTGTGTGTGTGCAGGTCTGAGGGGGCCCAGGGGCACACAAACAAGAAGTACACACGAAGACAGATGCACCCCACGTTTTCTCACATGTTCTGGATGTTCGTCTTCCCCCCCACTTCCGATATTTCTCCTCTTTTCCTGGGGGTCGGCGATTCACTCTGTCTGTGTGCTTTTCCCCTCCTGATGTGTGTGTGGGTGCAAACCATGACCCGAGACATGCGCGCGGCCCAGCACGGGGGACACACTGAAGCAAGAGGAGGCGCCATGAGATCTGGGGAGATATCGTGGCCCTGGCCATGATATCCCCCCCCTAGTCTTAGGTCGGGCCTGTCCCTCTACAGGAGAAATATTCAAAGATAGTCCAAACATAGTCTGGTGACGTTTTTCTTTTTTTAATTGTTTTTCCCAACCATCCTGTGGCGTTGGGTCCTCGGTTTGAAGAGACAGCGCCCCGCGTTCACTCCTCCTCCTCCCGCTGCCCCCTCCCTCCTGCCATCATCATCATCATCACCATCACCATCACCATCACCATCACCATCATCATCATCATCATCATCATCATCATCATCATCATCATCATCATCATCATCATCATCATCATCATCATCATCATCATCATCATCATCATCATCATCATCATCATCATCATCATCATCATCATCATCATCATGAACCCCTCACGTTTCGTGGCCCCATAGGGAGCTCCAGCGAAGGCCCCAGTGGCTGCGCTCCCATGCGCCCACCGCACCCATTTCTGCACACCCCTCACACGCTTCGTGGCCCCATGGGGCTCCAGCGAAGGCCCCAGTGGCTGCGCTCCCATGCGCCCACCGCACCCATTTCGGCACACCCCTCACACGCTTCGTGGCCCCATAGGGAGCTCCAGCGAAGGCCCCAGTGGCTGCGCTCCCATGCGCCCACCGCACCCATTTCGGCACACCCCTCACACGTTTCATGGCCCCATAGGGAGCTCCAGCGAAGGCCCCAGTGGCTGCGCTCCCATGCGCCCACCGCGCCATTTCTGCACACCCCTCACACGTTTCGTGGCCCCATAGGGAGCTCCACCGAAGGCCCCAGTGGCTGCGCCCCATGCGCACCCATTTCGGCACACCCCTCACACGTTTCGTGGCCCCATAGGGAGCTCCAGCGAAGGCCCCAGTGGCTGCGCCCCATGCGCCCACCCACACCCATTTCGGCACACCCCTCACACGTTTCGTGGCCCCATAGGGAGCTCCAGCGAAGGCCCCAGTGGCTGCGCTCCCATGCGCCCACCGCACCCATTTCGGCACACCCCTCACACGTTTCGTGGCCCCATAGGGAGCTCCAGCGAAGGCCCCAGTGGCTGCGCTCCCATGCGCCCACCGCACCCTCGACCCCTGCCCACATGCGGGGCACCCCATCACACGCTTCGTGGCCCCATGGGGAGCTCCAGCGAAGGCCCCAGTGGCTGCGCTCCCATGCGCCCACCGCACCCATTTCGGCACACCCCTCACACGTTTCGTGGCCCCATAGGGAGCTCCAGCGAAGGCCCCAGTGGCTGCGCTCCCATGCGCCCACCGCACCCATTTCGGCACACCCCTCACACGCTTCGTGGCCCCATAAGGAGCTCCAGCGAAGGCCCCAGTGGCTGCGCTCCCATGCGCCCACCGCACCCATTTCGGCACACCCATCACACGTTTCGTGGTCCCATGGGGAGCTCCAGCGAAGGCCCCAGTGGCTGCGCTCCCATGCGCCCACCGCACCCATTTCGGCACACCCCTCACACGTTTCGTGGCCCCATAGGGAGCTCCAGCGAAGGCCCCAGTGGCTGCGCTCCCATGCGCCCACCGCACAGATTTCGGCACACCCCTCACACGTTTCGTGGCCCCATAGGGAGCGCCATCGAAGAAGATACTCACAATTGCGGTACTCGCAACTGCATCTGGTTGGGTGCTTCGCCAGGATAATTATTATACTTGTTGCACATTCCTTGAGTATTTACATTTTTCGTCAAGAATCCTTCCGTAGGAGGACGTACCCGACCTAACCCTGGTCATCACCCCCCTCGTGGCCGCCCCCGATGCATGCAGCGGCCGCAAGGCCCCGAGGGTGCTGGTGCTTCCTGAAGATGTCGCCTCGCGTTCTCGGGGTGGGGGTCACTCGGAGCAGACTCGGTGATTTTGTGCTCTTGCCTCGCCGGGGCGTCACTCCGTCGCCGCTGCGGGGTCGACCGCGGGAGTCTAGCCAGAGCGTACCGCGGAGAGGCCCGGGGGTCGCTTTCAAACGGACTGCCTACCAGACCACCCCAACCCAACCCGACGACCCGAATTTTGGGTTGGGGGGGGGGGTACGGGCTTGGTGCGTGGTGTTCTTTGAACGTTCCCCGACCTCCCGACTGGAAATGTAGGGCCAATCGGGCCCCTCGGGTTGGGTCGGGGTTGTTTGGTGGGCGGTGACAAACTCCTCCCCTTGGCCCAGACGCCCTGGTCCCGTGGAAGACTCACACGGGACGTGCGCTGCGGGCTTCGGCGTCGGGGGGCCCCCGCCAGGCCTCCGGGCAGTGACAAAAGCGGCTCAGGGTGAAACGTCGGCTCTAAGTGAAGGGGCCCCAGGACACACAAATAAATACACAAAAATAAAAAGATTCCCCCATATTTTCCCATATTGTCTGGGTTTCTGTCTTCCCCCCATTGCCCATATTTTCCCATATTTTCTGGGGGATCGAAGATGATTGTGTCTGTGTGATTCTTTTCCTCCTGACTAAGGAGTGGCAGGAGAGCCCAGAATCGAATCGCTAGGTCAGATCGGCGATGGACAAGGACTCGGAGCGGCAGCAATCGGTGCCCCAGTTGGGAGAGGTCGACTCGGCGGAGATCGGCAGGCCAATGGGGCCGCCATTGAGAACCCGAAGCCCAGGTCGGCATCCGAGGTCGAATCGAGTCGGAATCACCCCCTTGTTGCCCCCGGCGCAAAGGCCCAACGATTTGACACAGATGGGACGGAAGCTTTCGCCGCTCTCGGACCTCCCGCCAGGCCCCAGGACGCAGAGCCAGCCGTGGCGACGGCACGCCCCCCAGGAGGCCAAGGAACGTGCGAACAACGGCAGGGAGGGCCGGCGCGATGTCTCGGCTGGCCCTCCCCAGGCCCACGACGGCATGATTGTTTCACGACATAAACCCCCACGCCTTGTGGATGCCACGACAATGGACACCCTAATAGTCCGATCATTGAATGTAAAATGTGTTTAAATGTCGAAAATGTTCAACATACGTTTTAGACATCTGGGAACTATTTGGCAACATGCTTCCTCTCCATTGATCGTCCTCCACATCCCAAGCCTTAATCCGCTCCCGGAACGGACGTCTCATCCTGACTAATTGGTTGACGGCCCCAAGTCCCAGCAAGGGCTTCCATAGGCCGAACATAGGTTGGCCAGCGCGCAACCCAAACAGTGCTACTAGCGATCTTTGTGATACCAGATGCGTTGTGCAACCTCTGTGGTGCTATTAGCTTTTGCTCAGAGCGAGTTGTCACCCGCACTGCTCGCGCCATCAGCGCACACACTCACCCGCAACTCGGTGTACAGAATCCATGCGGCGCCGAGTGCGATGACTGTCTGGCGGTGGCTGGTGCATCGATGCGGTGGCGCTAGCGCGCGCAGGCTCACGCGCAGAGCGGCCAGCTAGTCTGGCGCGACTGACGCGGCAGCGGTGGCGCTGACCGCTGGGGACTTCCCAGCGAGTCTCCCAGGCCGCGCTGACGCGCGGTCACTTCGGTGCGAATCGGTGACTCGGGCGGGCGCGGCAGCATGGCGACGACGCCAACGGGAGACACGATAATTATGATAATGACGCGACGACGATGGGATTGACGACGGAACGGCCAATGGCAGCGCCGCTGATGATCACACTGATGGCGATGATGGTGCCCACGTGTCGGTGATGAAATCTTTGAAGGGAATTCGACATGTGCGCGCGGCCGACCTACGCGAAAAGCCCGCAAGGTAGTCTTTCAAAGGGGCCGTGCCACCCCAACGCGCGCAGAAGGACGTTCGAATGTTTTCTGCGTGCGCGCGCGAGAAGCCTGGTGGGTCGCATGTTGTGTCGATGCGGAAACAACAGCTTTTTCAAGAATTCTCAAGAATGTGGAAACTCTTCTTTAAACAAGGAAAAAACAACATTCCTTGACAAAAAAGCGCTCGTGAACCTCGATCTTGAAATCCTTACGGCGCACATCGTTATTCAAGAATTTCGGTATGCGCGCGCGACGCCGCGCGCGCGGACTTGATCTACTCGCGGACCCATGCAACAGCATGATGTTAATAACCGTCTGTGCGAACAAAACTCCATTTGTCACGGATGAGTGGGGGGGGGTCGAACCCGGTTTGGCTGAGATGGTATGGTTTCGTATGGGAACTGAAAGATGGGGCAAAGGCGCGTGTTAACGGCACTATCCAAGGCTG